CGGCTGCATTATGCAAATATTTTCTGCTGAGAATTTTGATGAGTTTTGAAACTGTGTTCACTCCCTTTTTGTCCCTTTGTTGTGTTTATGTTGTGGTTATTGTCTTTCTAAATCAGATATTTAGGGAAACACATTGTTGTTTCAGGGCAGGAATCTGTCTGAATGTGCACGGGAGGCCCAAGGAGCGGAGGGGGATCCTTGAGCACATTTTCTCTGTAAGAGTTGGAAACATTTTCTGCATTGTTTTACGCTCCTCTCTAGGGGCAAGCGTTGCATTTTCAAGAGTCGTTCCCAAGAAAAAGAGTCTCTGGTTGGCTTTTCCTGGGTTTGATTGTCTCGCGCAGTCAGTTTTGACAAGTATTTTTATCACTCAAAAAGAGGTCTCACCAAAACTGCACATTTTCTGCAGTTTTTACCTTCTGGGTCAATTTGTGGATCCAGTTGTGCATAAATCAGTTAGCTGCACACACCCAGCATTTTACAGCATGTGTTTGCCCACAAGGTTTTTAAAACACAGTTTTCCTGGATGCTGACCAAATGTATGTCAACTTTTGAGTTCGAGGAAAGTTACAAATAATTTCTTAAAAAAATAAAAAATGGTCTCAACAAGTTTTCTTGTGATAAAAATTATTTTGGTTCCGATTAAGCTAAAAAAAAAAAAAATGTTTGGTCTGATTTAACTTCAGTAAGTGAGGAAATAAAATATGTTTGTCTCCTTTTATTCAGTGTATGGATTTATCTGGTTGCAACTGCATATTTAGTGAAAACTCTGGTCACTTTTAAAACATCGTCAGACGTGAATCGACCAGTTGTTTACAAAGAAACCAAAGATTATTTGCACAGGAGATGGAAGCAGTGTGCCCCCACTGGTGTACCAGTATTGAAACGTGTACTTGTAACGGATAAAAAGGCAGCATAAAAATATAGTAAAAGTTTGTTCACATTATATTCGCTTCCTACCTGTTGCTAACTGTCCAAAGAAATAAAACAGCATTCACATAAACAGCTGTGATGCCCAAAATTTAAAACTGGCCTCTGTCTAACACTGGACTCGGAAGCTGCAGCTCAGAGGCGGAGCTTTGTCCTGGAAGGCGGAGCTAGGGCCACCCAGCCGTTTTGCACAGCCGAATGGTTGCCGTGGGAGATTAAAGGATTTCTCAAACATGCATAAAAGAATCAAAGCGACACTCCAGGTATGTTTCTGATGAGGGAATAACATTATGACGGAAAGCTCCATCATACTGCAAACTTCTTAACCCCGTTCTTCATATTCTTTGAGGTTTTGTATCTTGAGAATCTAATCTGCTCCAGCTCAACCCAACTGTTGTTCTCACACTTTATCTTTTTCATTCCAGTCATATTTTCCTGTAATATGTCCTGTTAGGCCTTGGGGCACCACTGAAAATGACACCACCTCAGTAACCCACAGCCAGTTGATGCTACAGCTAGATTGCAGCTGATAACACCATGAAGTCAACCAGCAGGCACATTATGAATTTGTTTATGGCATAATTACTAATCAGACTGTGGTTTACAGGATCATCAGTGCAACCTCTAAGCCATGTACAAAACATTTAGTTTCTGTTGGGATTTAATTAAATATCAGTGTGGCTTCTGCGTCGGAGCCAACACCACGCCCAGGAAAAGGTGACAGATGGTGCTCCTCTTATTTTTGGATCGCTCAATAGGCCTCTTTTTGTTCGCATGCGGTGTTGTTTGTGTGTGGATGTCTGCAGGAGACACAAAAGCAGGAGACTAGTAAGTTCAGAAGTAAAATCCACACCACAGCCAAACCCTCCAACAAGCACAAATAGGCCGAATGAGAGAGTGTTTCCTGGCCTCCTGCTCCTTCCCCGAAAAATGTCCGCTCACGGATCCGCCGACGCTGTCTGTCTGAGGCGCCGTTCAACTCCTTCATCGTTTCCGTTGCTACGATGAATGTCTCGTCCTCCTCCGGCTCTGAGGAAGAGCAGAAACGGGAGGACCAGTCCAACTAATCCAACTGGCAAAGTCATGAAGAAGAGAGATCAAACGGTACGTAGCGTATCCATAAGGGCCACATATTTTCTTAGCAGAATTGTGTCAGCCACTTGTGCAAGACTCATCAGTGCCACAGTTGAGAAAGAGCTTTGGATTTGCCAGTGGGATTGCTGGGCTCATGATTTAAATGTGTCGGCTCAGCATAACCAGTGAGGGAAGAAACTGAGATTCAGTTCTTAGAGAATAGAATTAGCGGATCGAGGTTTCTGGGAAAATCAGATATGACACATCTCTACCACACTATGTCAGCCAATATTGCAGACAAGATGTTTTTCGTCTGCCTACGTAAACTCCCAGAGAGCATTTTCTATAAATGTCAAAACCACAGTCAATTTATTTATGTCTAGACTAAAATTAGAGTAAAATTGAACTTTTGGTTGATGAGCAGTTCAAGCTTTAGACATCTAATAGATTGCGGCATTCAAGATCAAGTAAATGAAGCCAAAGGGGGGAAAAAATGTTGGAAAACTGCATTATAAGTCGATGCTCTTGTCGCAGAGTTCTCATAAGACAGGAAACAGCCTCTGGTGGGAGCAACAATTACCGGCGCTCATTAAACGGCAAGTGAATGGTTTATTTGGAACAGGATAATTAACAGTGGGGGAGATCTGCTGCTGCTGCTGCTGGGAAGGGAGGTTTGATCCGGGGCTAGAGCAGTGAGCGATCACTGAGTGCGTGGAAAGAGGAAATGGAAAACCCAGGAGGGAAGGTAAGTGTTTCCAAGAGTTTGGAGGATGCAGGTAAGCAGTGGAGGATTGGCAGGTAGGCTGGAGGATTTGGTGCTGAGAGGCGCTCCATCCAACAGTGAAGGCAACGTAGGAGCTGGGTCCAAGGAGCCAGGAGACGATCTTTGATGGAGGATGGACTGCAAGAAGGCACAAAGGACATCGAAGGTAAGTCCAAATAAAAACAGGTTTTCTTTAGTGGTGACTTAGTGAGTTAGCCATCTGCCTGAGGAAACCTCCTCCAAATGCTGCTCCCTGATTTGCACCAATTGGAGGCTTCGCCTGCCGGTCACACCCTATGGAGGAGGAAGGCAGGAGACACACACACACACACACACACACACACACACACACACACACACGCGCACACACTATCCAGGTCACAACCCTCTGAATACAACCAGCATGCTGTTGGTACTCACATGTATTGAAGGTGATCTGTGATGGCTGGTATTGGAGTCAATCACAGAGGAGCTGCTGCTGTATGACAGCAACGTTCCGTTTATCATTACAGGCTGAGCAGCTCCAGTGATTAGTCTGAGTCTGCTCACTCAGTTTCTCCTGACTGGTCATTTCCTGTTCCTGGTCACGCCCGCTGTCCCTCATGAGTATCGTGCTCAGTGCCTTCACCTGTCATGGCGGTCAGACTCACTGTGAGATCATCTGCTGTGCTCAGTCACAGCTTTCAAACTTTCCATTTCCTGATCTTTTTTCATCAACCCATCGGTTGATGAAAAACTATTTATTCCTCCCTCCTGTGGGAACCTATCATGTCCTCACTGTTGGGTGCAGGAGATTTAGTATTGTTAAATAAGAAACGCAATTAAAATCACGTTTATGAGATTGTTCACACAAATTCAGTCGAAAACATGACGCAACATGGTCCTCCGACTACTTCCTGCCGTCTTCGTCTTAGAGGTTTCCACCAATGGCAACAACCGGTTGTTAATCATGTGACTTGTGTGAAACAAAGGAAGTGTTTACGTTGCAGGTTTGTGACATAAACCAGTTTTGATTTGGCCAAAAGACCCGCCTCATCCTAGCAGCAAAAAGTTTTTGCGAAAAACGAGATTTTTTTAATTTGGTGTGTTTCCATTATGCAAACTTATGTTCGAAATGTCTTATTGTTAGGTGGGCAATGGAAATGCATCACCTATATGTTCGTAAATCATTCAGTGTCCCTTCCTAACTCTCCGCTCTCTTGTCCAGAACACTGCTGGCCTCAGAGACTCAGTTCTCTGGCTATTGCACATTCTTTTATTTTACAAATGAAACCTTTTGCATTTAAAATTGGTGTCTTGCTATTGACTCTACCTGTGGGTCAGGAATTAGAGCAGAAATTACCTCTATTTCTGGGTTTATAGCAGTGTAAGTTATGATTCACCTTGAAACACTGTATTTTTCTTTTTCTTTAACAAGTATAAATTCATTGTTGTCCCACATTATGTACAGGAAACACCTCGTCGTGAGTGCAGTGTCTTCTCTGAGAACAATTCTTTACTCTGTTGGTCAGTCTCTGCAGTCAGACTGCATTACAACTCATCTGACTCAGTGGATAGTTTTGTCATTTCCTATTTCATGTTACTGCTTTGGCCCAACATGCAGTTCAAGCTTTAACGTTACTGGTGAGTTTATTTTCTAAATATAATTAACCATCTTTGACTTTCCGAGTCTCCGTTTCTTCATTCCTGCTCCCAGCAATTACGCAGAGCATCAGTGGCGGTGACAGCACACTGAGAGATTTGATTCAGTCGGTTCCAAACGCTCGGTCGCGTTGCGTTTTTGTCTGCTGACGCAACGGGCTGTTAAAGTTTTAGCAGTTTTGAAATCGGTCCATCTCGATGTGAAAATTACTTTCACAAAGCTGTGGCACGGGATTCCAAAACCACATCTGCCGTTTGAGTTTTCTCTGATGACAAAACCGTGGAGGAGGCATGAAATAAAAGTCACGGCATTAACGAAGACGGACAGCTTATGTGTTTTTCTTCAGACGCTCACTCTCGATGGTTTTGTTCGCTAGAATATTTCTTTCCCCTCCACATCAGACCTGGAAACCTGAGTGAGACTTGCGACCTGGAGCGGATCTCCCATGGGGTTTAGGGCGAGCCGTGCCGTTTCTAAAATTAAACCCAGAGTGAAAGAAACCTCAACCTTCCTGGGTCACAGAGACATGTTCAGCATAAAAACCTTTGATTCAGGGATTTAAAAAAAAAAAAAAAGCTTTCAATTTAATTCAGTTAATCTCAAGTCAGTTCTCATCGCACCATAAAAAAAAAAGAAAAAGTTCTACCAAAATCAAGTCGAATTCAGATCAATTGAGATTCACATCAGTTTATTTCTATTTCTGGGGGGGAAAAAAACCTTTTTAGGTTTTCACTTACAATCTAAACTTTAACTTTAATCTCTTGTACTGAATGAGTTTACTCATCAGTTTACTTAGCCAGCATACAAGAGCAAATTTTGATGTTTGTTTCTATTGAAATTATGTGTAAATATGTAATTAGTTACTAATATCCAATCCACTGAATGTTAAACAAGAAAAGTTGGTATAAGGTATTCAAATAAATATTTTTGAATAAAAAAAAAAAGAGAAATTTCATGATGAAAATATATTACCTACAACATGAGAATGAGAATATAATAAAACCACATATTTTGTACTATTAAATAATAAAGAAGTAAAAACAAATTGTAGTATGACTGACGTGATTTACAATCAGATTAATAATTAACGTCTTGCAGCCTGAATGAATCACAGGGTGTGTCTTTGCACAGGTTCCTTACACACAGCTTCCCCTCACTTCAATTTGAAACACCTGTCTGCAGCTAGGAGTAGCGTAGCTTGAGTGTTCTTCCCTCGGTAACAGCGTTCACACCAAAGAGGGTTGTTGTCAGAACAGTCCAGTAAGTAGCACTCAGGTTTTGGTGATAGAAATAAAATTAGGTTATTGGGGGGGCGGGGGGGGGATTTCAGTTTCTGGCTGCCCAGTAACAGCTGATTTTTTTTTTTTAGTGCCTCTGATATTAATGGATGTTACAATCAAAAGTGTACAACGATTAAAAACAAAGAAGATGCCCTCCCAATACTTTAGCTTGTGAATTACAAATGTTTCTAATGTGACCAGAGATTGCATATCATGCAGGTTATCTTGTGGGAATGTGAAAAAGTATTATTTCAACCAATATGACCAGATAGGCTTAGTAAATTTGTTCACTTTTTTTTTTATTGCTTTGCAAGTTAGTTTTAGTTTATGCTTTTATAATTAAACAATCAGATCTTGCCAAGGAGTCCAGGGTGGATGTGATGCATTTTGACATTTTCAAGTCACGAAAGTTCAGAGCAGCTGCATGTTCCTCGAGAAAAAAAAAAAGAAAGAAAAAAAGAAAGTTGTAAAACTTTCATCTTACTCTGAGTCAGAACCCTATTCGGGGTCACGCCTGACACAGGAAGGAGGAGAGGAAATGCCGGGACACTACTCAGGTATTTGTGGGAGGTTTCAGCCTCGTAACCTTTCTAGGCAAAAAGTGGCACATAAGTTTCACTTTCAAACTGTGTGTGTGTGTTTTTTTTTCTTTCTAATCTATCTCAGAGAGATCGCTATCGGCGCACTGTAACCCACAGATATACAAAATGCCAGCAGCGCTACTATGTTCTTCCAATCCTCCGTATCTTCATCTTGATCTTTCCGCTGCATTTGTCACGACGAGGTTTCACAACCCAGGCGAAGTGCCGGGTGTGAAAACCGAGCGAGGGTCTGCTCACCTTGGAGAGCGTGACGTCTGCGGCCGCATTCCAACGCAGGATCCGCATTCCCGGGCGAAGAGGAACAACAGGCCTGATGGCGGTTTGATTTAACACAGCCTTTCACTTGACTCTGTGGCGAATAATAAAACTAATGCACTCTGCTCTGTGGGAAATGTCAAGCCCACAAACAATGTTCAATAAACATTCAGCCAGTCTGGACCGACGCCTGGTAAGCAAAAACATGCCTCAATGAAAAGGGATTTGCAACGGCAAAGTGACACACACACACACACACGCACACACCATCTCCGGGACATCTGAACACCCCCGCCTGCCCCCTGTCTAGCAACATTAACCTGGGCTTTATTTGAACCATTTTAGATGAAAATAAATGCTAATGCTCGGTCAGCATTAGCGAGTTAGGGCAGTTTAAGTCCCCGGATCGCGCCAGCTGAGGATTCCCTTAAAGTTCTGGGTTGCGTGGAAAAAGGGTGTGCGCCGCTTTGAGTATGATTCTTGTTGTGTGTGAGTATGGGTCTGCGTGTTGGCTGGAGCGAGTACAGTGACTCTCAAACCAAAGAGAGCCCTGCCCACTCCCACAGTGGAAAGAATGATGTGTTATTCTGTAAATGACACTACTGACCAAGCAGATGCTTGCCTGAGGTGAGATGCTGGCCATTGTGTGTGTGACTCACTTTGAATGAAGCAGTGAGCCATCACAATATTTTCTTAATTCTTCATCTACTGGTAAATAGGTTAGGCTTAGCATGTGCGTGTGTGCGTGTGTGTGTGTGTGTGTGTGTGTGCACATGTGCGTGTGTGTGTGTGTGTGTATGTTGATGAACTGGAGCTCCCTGCAGGTTGTGCTGATTACCACGGGGGTGGCCACCTGTGGAGTTTTTGCTCCTAACTGCATTTGCCTTGTCTTGTGGTTCCAGTGTGTGTGTGCGCATGTATGTGTGTGTGTGTGTGCAGTACGGGGGCCGGCCCCTTCGTTATGCTCATTCTGCATGCTTTCTAATCACACAGACCACAGAGGAAGTTGTTTACAACGTGCAGTTGCACGTCCGCGTGAGGGGCCAGCGGGTCCGTATCGTGAGACTGCAGGTGCGGATGAGTGCCATGTTGGGCTTTATGAGCATGTAAGTGAGTAAGTATAGAGTGTGAGAGTGCCTGTTTGAATGTTTTGCGTGAGAGCCTTCGTCTCTTCATGTGGTCAATGAATCCTGCCACAGTTAGCATAATTGTGTTTACAGTAAAGCTACTGCCTACTTCTTGACTGGCTGCGGAACAAACACTTACTGGATCAGAATCAAACTTCATGCCAAATGCCAAAGTGTGGGATCTGAGTGCAGCGCGATTTCAGGTGGCAAGGCAGCACAAAGGGCTGCTCTGACTTCCATCCTCCTCAAACCATCGGTTTCTAGAAAAGGGCTAAACCATCTCCTGTGCTGACATGTCCAGCCTCATGTCCAAAGGCGTTTTGGCTTTGTGTAGACTCCAAGAGGTCAGCTTCAGAAATGTAAAAGCAGTCTCTAGGTCCCCTGTGAAATAGACTACAATGGTCTTTGCTCCCTGGTTGCTTGTGCCAATTGTCTAACTAATGTTTGTCTTAAGTAGATCCTGTGGAATAAATTGATAAACTGAAAGCAACCAATTGCATTTCAGCAAAGACAAGTTAAGCCTCAGGTGAAGGAGAGTTTAAGTAGATTGGGCCGACGTCGGCGGAGAGGGGGAAGCTCGACTGGTTTTCTGTGGTGAACAGGGAGCCAAATTATAAGACGTTCCTCAGTTAGGGACCTCACAGCCACCTGTCATACATTAACATTGTTGAGCTCTATCCCAGGGAATGCCAACTTTCGCCGGGGCCCTCTTACGCCTTGTGGTGAATTGGCAGTGCAACTGGCCCAGAGCGTGGGCACTCAGGTCAGTTCACTTCTTGTTTTTCTTGAAAAGGGAGGTAGTTGTCAGGAGTCAAGCATTGTTCAAGAATGCCCTCCTATAAATACTTCCTCAAATGACTGGTGTCCTGCAACTCTTTGATGAGTCTCTGCTTCAGCAAACCTCAGTCAAATAATGAGGTCATTAACAGGACTCTGGAAAATTTGAGTTTACTGAGGAGTTGATTCAGCTATTTGACTGAAATATGTTGGACAGGGAGATACTGAAGAGTTGCAGGACATTGGCCCTCGATGACTGGAGTTGCCCAAACCTGGACTAGACTAACTAGGCAGCAGGACTTGGGGAGAGGGCCGTTGTCAATTAACCTGTTAAAGTTTTGTGTACAATATTGCGATGTTACAATAAATGTGGAAATTTAGTGATGTATAATATTTCTTGTCAGAGTTAGTCGAGAAAATCAACTGGAATGCCCCTAAAGCCAGAAATTGGATTTGGAAAGTCTGAAAAGTTTCTGGGTCAGATTCTACAGTGTTTCCCTGCCAAATGTCAAAGTGTCCCTTTGCAAGGCGCTGATCCCAAGTTGCCCACTGTTCTGTTTGTCGGTGTGTGTGTGTGTGTGTGTGTGTGTGTGCGTGTGTGTGTACCTGAGTGAATGAAGATCTACTGTTAAATGGCTTTAAGTCGGAGTATGACTGGAAAGATGCTGTATAATTTCCATTTGCCCAGTTTAGCTAACATGAGTTATGATGGTGGTCAACTGTATCAATCAACTAGAACAATCATTTTTCAGAAATGGAAATGTATAAAAGAGTTAAAATCAGTATGTTTTTTTATTGACTTATTGCGTGAACAAACATATTCATGTGGGATTTTAAATGCCTTTCTTATTTGATGAAAACATCACAATTGCAAAATTGCGATTTTTTTGCATATCATTGACAAAGTTTTGTGGTCATTTGTAATGCAAACACAGCTCCTGACAGATTAATTTCCAAAAACTCTCTCCTTAAAACTGACCAAGAAAACTTCCAAACGAATCCTCTAATGTCAGAATCATTTTACTTACATATACCCAACTATCTGCCCTCCAACTTCATTGCAGCAATTCACTTATTAACCTTCTTAGAGTCGAAGGCCGCTCCACCAACATGGAAGAATCTGATCCCTACCTGATTCTTTCTAACCATTCTGTCAGACCTTTCCCTCTTTTCAGGAAATTTACCTGGTCTAATGCAAATACAAGCTATTCACTCTCTCACTCACTATGAAATATATATATAAAAAAAGTTCGAACCGACAGCATAAAAACACCAAAGTATGGCATGTCTTGTATATTGAGAGGACTGACCCAGAACTGCCACCTGTAGCTCAACTTCACGACGCGACGATGCGCTGAAAATGGATTCGGAATGAAACAGGAAACGGAAAAAGGCTTTAATTGCATTACATTTTTAGCAGTTTGCTTGTCTTTCTGTTTCTTGCTACTGCAACATCACTATAATGATTCAACATAATACTGGGTGGGCAATATGGACTTAAAGTTTAATCGATATTTTGTGGTAGTCTTCTGATAACAATAAAAGTGACGATAAGAAGTATTTACTACTTATTAATAGGTAAACCTCGGTGTGACTGTGACTACATGGTACACCAGTCATAGCTCCACAAACATAACAACTGCTATTGAAAATATTTGTAATGAGCTTCTCTAGGACACTAGTCATGTAAAACAGTCTGATTTATATCACTAAGCTGCTCACAGCAACTGCATTTAATCATATTTTCAAATTTAATAATATTTATAGATATTCTTAATGGAAAAAAAAAACCTGTGGAATTTCAATGCCCAAAAATAGTTTTGGGGGAGTTTTAAACACCATTAATTGGAATGTATTGCGACAACAATGAATCAAAAATTCTTATCGCGATAAAGGAATTCATCACAATAAATGATAAGCGATACGATAAATGCCCACACCACCAGAGATGAAAATCTATGCAAATCTATTGGCTGAGTGCTGAAAGCGACAGAGTCGCAGCAGAGCCGTCGGTGCTCCTGCTCATGCTGAGGAGTTCAACCCTGATTGGAATTGATAGACAACCTCAAACCACACTGACTGCTGAAATTGACTGTTTTGTGTTTTGCGACTTCAATTATGGTCTACCAGCAGATCTGGTGAACTAGATTCCTGTTTGTTACATTCTGATCTTAACTTTGGAGTCATCCCTCTGAATAATGACTTCAAAAAAAAAAACAAAAAAAAACAGCATTACAGGAAATCTATGAATATGACATA